TGATGTACATGACGTGGAAGAGTAATATAATCAACAGTTGTGATAGGAACCTCAGTTGAACTGAAGAAAGATAGTAGTCAAAGAGGTTTCATGTGTTGATATATAGACTACAACAGATAAAAAACAGCAAGGACTTATGAATGTTTGTCATTTATTAAATTCTCACCCTGTGAGGTGAAAATATGTGTGGTAAATAACTTGCATTTTAAATCATGCTTTGACAAATCCTGAATAAACCTCAGGAATTTTGTCCATTTGCTGATAGAGCCTATAGCCATTCAGAAATCCAAAGAGGACAGGAAAATTGGTTTAATGGTTTCAAAAAGCCTCGGTTAGCTTGCCTCAAGTCTCATCCCAAATTCCCAAACTCAATTCCACAAACATTCCTCATAACGTCTGCATTCATTTTCTCTAAAGCTACGAAGCGACTCCGTCGAGTGCTCAGTGATTTAAGATTCACGGTCTGGTTTATCTCCGTCCATCTCGTTCCAATAAACACATCTTTTATTTTCATTCTCTATTTTCCCCTTCACTGAGCTAAACAGGCACTGCAATCTTTCCTTTCCATTTGGAAGATTTACATGAGAGCGAGTTGCGATCGATGCATAAAAGATTTTAATTTGCATTCTTTTACGTGATATACCTGAGAATGTATGGCTTAACTTTTACTTGTGTTAGAAATTAGGTACACTTTACACCAGTGAGGTCAAAAGAAAGACTTGCATAACTTGCACGAATGCTTAAATTCACTCCATATTTGATGTAACTTAGGGAAATGGAAGATTCCCTCTTAAAGGGATAGTTCACATAAAATTGAGATTTCTTATTACTTGTTACAAACATGTTTTTACAAACATGTGAGTTTCTTTCTTCTGTTGGACACAAAAGAAGATATTTTAACTAAAGCCTTGTGTTCAACAAAAGAAAGAAACTCATAAATGTTTGTAACCAACTGAGGGATAGTATAGTAAATTGTAAATGAATAATAACTATTCCTTTAAGGTATCAAAACATTTAATTAAGACATTATATATTTCACTTTGTTCACCCAATAGGTTGAAAACTCGACTCATTTGGAAGTGCATAAGCAGAGATTTTTTGCCCTGTAATAACAGTAAGTCTATTTAAAGCTTGTTTGTTTCAGCGTGATCATCCTATTTCAAGCAAGTATGAATTGTGTCTGCAGTTTTAAACTAAATTACAGCTCATACTGTTCTTGTTTATTGCTATGAATTCTAGCAGTGGTTTGAGACAATTCACTTTAGCCTGCCCGCTCAATTCTTACTTGAGACTGAAGAAAACAGAGGTTTGGGATCTCTATTTTGTGGACAGGCGCATCTCTATTCATTCCAAAATGTGACTGCAAACTTTGCACAGATGATTTAATATACATTCATACGCATATTTGGGTAACACTTTACAACAACAGTACATGAATAATGATGTGTTAATATGTAAATTAAACATTAATTTATTATGAACTAATTATAAATTACAACATGAGTCACATGAATTTAGTGTGAATAATAGGTACTTAATTACTTGTTAGTACATGCTTATTTGTTACATAATGTATTAGTTTATGCTTAATTTAACTTATGAACTCATGAACATCTTATACACTTCTGTCTTGTGTGTTTACACTCAGTAGCAATAGAAAAGTGTTCTCATGTCAACATCATCATGAACAGCATGAACCTTTTAAACACAGGAGTTCATGAGTAGTTAAGAATGAGTTAATGGTGATGTGCCCCTTTAAGTAAAGTCATGACGTAATTATACATTAACAGCTCATGACCTCATGTTGGTTACATTTAGCTTAAACTTAAATGTTAATTCATACATTAGTTAACAGCATGTACTAACAAGTAATTAAAATAGCTGTTATTCACACATGAACTCATGGGAATCATGTTGTAGTTAAAGTTAGTTCATAATTAGTGCATGCCTTTAATAATGAGCAATGTTTAGTTTACATACTAATACATCATTATTCATGCACTGGTATTGTAAAGTGTTACCCATATTTGCATTGATCTGCTGCCTAATGGAAAAGTAAATTTTGATTCTGCTTTTGCTGGATCTAATGATGCTGTTATATACTGAACAACTAAATTAAGAGACATCAATGCTGTAAAATGGCTTTTTATATTTACTAAATACATTTTGTGGCTGATGATTCTCAAATACTATAGATCAAAATCTTCATACCTTACCAAAATGCAGTTTATTAAAGAGTACAACATAAATGAGCACAATATTTAATATGCATATTAGACCGTGTAAGCTGTCATTTTCCAAAACAAAAACAGATGATTAATACATCAAAACATACACTTGCAAAACAACAACAACAAAAAACATTCTCAAAAGCCAAAAGCAACTTGATAATGTCAACAGACCTCTCACTGCATAATTACAGCACTTATTAATATTCACTGATAATTAAGCTGGAATATTAGTAAAACAGGCAATTTAGTGTTTTTGATGCAGAATTCATAAGGGTGAGGATTTTCATAAATCATACTGATTATTTATAATCATTTATTATGCAGCAGATAGAAGCATTAAAGATACAGTAAATTAACTTATGACAACAACTGACTTTTTAAAATTAATTTGGCTATAATTGGGTATTTTGTTTAACCCTTGTGCACTGTTCAAATTTACAACCCTTTTGTTATGTCCGGGATGAAAACATCCACATCCACTGAATTCAATATATATATTGCCTATTGCCAAGTTATCTGATAATGTCACTGATTTGGTAAAAAACACAAAATGGCATATTTTCCGTACATATAAAATATAAAAAATAATCGTGAATGGGATTTTTAAAACCATTTATGACAGTCTTGGACATGTGAAAGATTAGTAACAACATTGGCTTTGATGCATTGTTAGATTTTCATTTTTTTTCTTCCTATTTTACAGTTGGTGGCTGTTTTTGCCCCATGGACTTCCATTATAACCACATTTGATGGTGCATAAATACACAGTCTTTGTTTTTGTTTACTCCATGTAGTTCTGAGAGCTGAGATGCATAATTTGAATTTCTCAGACACATCAAGGTAAGTGCATAAAGGTCACTCTCACACACATACACACTTTAATTAGCTGTTATTCTCCAAATAAAATCCAGAAACTAAGCTTTTATCTGAAGGGTTAATGGTGCCAACTGATGATCAACAGTAAAAATTGTACCTCTTCCCAACAGGGAAAACCAGCAACAATCAAAAATGCACGATTATATGGTGTCTTTTTGCAATAAAACAAATGTGGTTATAATGGAAGTCAAAGTGCCATAAATAGCCACCAAGAGTATATTAGGGAGAACAATGAAAATCAATCAAAAACAATGCATCAAAGGCAATGTTGTTTCACAAGTGCACGACTTTGATAAAAGGTTAAAAAATATTGAAATTATGTCATTTTGTGTGTGTGTTTTTCTCCACCAAATCAGTAACATCATTTATGAAATTGGTAATAAAAGAGTTAAAATTCTCAAATTTTCTATGCAATTAGTAGTTTTGATCAGGACTGAGGTTGATTAACAGATTTATGCAAAACAAATTGAAAAAAATATTTATCTGATGCATTTTTACAGAAGTTCAATTTAGTGGATGTTTTTAATCCTGAACATAACAAAAGGCTAGTTCATTTGCCCAGAGCGTATTGTTGAGTTCTTTAAAAATTTCAAAGCATTTTCTCAAAATATGTGTCAAAATAAGATGTCACCATAAATCATTCTGCTAGATAAAAAAAACTGAAAAAGTTAAGAATTTAAACTCAAGTTAAGGCCCAATCCCAATTCTACCCCTTAACCCTTCCCGTTACCCCTACCCCTCGTTTTGCGCGTGCATGCCAAGGGGTAGGGGTGTTCCAATTCTCTTTAGCTTGAAGGCGTAGGGGTAAGGGGAAGGGGTGAATAGCCCTTCGAACGAAGATTTTTCAGGACCACACTTGAAACCAAGGGGTAAGAAAATTTCCCAGAATACACCTGCCACATTTTACAGCAATTCCAGCAGTATTGCAGAACCCAGAAGTAAGGAGATTAGTATTTTTTGTCATTATTAGGAATTTTTACGACAAATAAACACGTTTTAATATATTCATAACTGCGTTCGTGTTTTACCGTCATGCTTTAAAAAAAAAAAAAACGCTACATAAAACGCTAAATTTTGCGATCTATAATCCCTATTAATAACTCCTGTACTGCAGTCCCACATCTGTCTGACACTTGAATACCCTGTCAGAAATGTCTAGTGGCTGTCAATGGGCTTTTTACAGTGTCTGCTATAATGTTAATGCTGTTTTTGGTGTGTTTACATTGATGAATATGGCCACTGTGTAAATACACAGTAAAATTACAATCTTATTGCCACATTAGATCGTTATGATAACAAAATATATGCCTTCTGCGATTTCCTGAAGATAAATACCAAAAAATAGCACAACTGGAATCACTACAGCAGTCGCCATCGTCTGATCTCACATGAAGCAGGAGATCGCGAGGACATATGATGACGTGTGCAGGTGCTGTGGTGCTGTCCCAATTCTTAGGGATAAATTTTGAAGCCCTTCCCCTTCATTCTCGGTTGTAGGGGCCAAGGGGAAGGGGTAAGGGTACAAAAATAGAATTGGGATTGGGCCTAAGACTCAAAATCACCCCAGAGTGGATGAAAACATCCCCAACAGTACACTACATAAGGGTTAATAAAATGAAAAGAGAAACTATTTGTTTTTTAGTATTAAACACAGAGGTTCAGGAGAATTGGAGTGATATTCAAATTCTAATTAAGCAATTAAATCATTTGGACATCATCTTAAAATAATGTCATGATGTCACGGACAAAGTCGTTTAGCAGCTGTCAGAAAGTTAAGATTTAACTTGGATTGTGCGAGCCAATTTTATGATAATGCAACTATATAACCTGAAGCCGAATTCAATTTTAGAAGCTAAACAGAACTATGGTAAACAACTCCATTTAAACCCACATTTATGCTGCATCTTTATCAGAAACGGCAGATAGTTTGAGTCTTTCCTTCTCTTCTCTTTCCACCGCTTCTCTTTTATCTCTTTCTTCTCCTTTCACATGGCATCCCACCATCAGCTGATACACCATCACACCGAACACAGCACCAATGAATGGGGCAAAGACTGGCACAAAGGACCAGTAAGACTCCGCTCTGTTGTGGATAGAACACAAATAAGTTTTGAAGATGATATTAAATGGATTGGTTAAGCAAATATGACTTACGAGAACACTTTTGAGCCCCATCCAGCAATTGCAGTGAAGATCCGTGGTCCCAAGTCTCTGGCTGGGTTTACAGCATAGCCTGAGTTAAATCCCATAGACAGACCAATCACCAGAACCACAAAGCCCACGGTGAAGGCCTCCAGTCCTTGCGGGATGGGGTTATTGTAAGGGTCAACAATGGCAAGGATACACACGATCAGAGCTGCCGTGCCGATCATCTGTTGAAAATGAGGTGTTAAAATCAGTGAACGTTCTCACATCATTTACTCATCCTAATATTGTTCCAAAATTGACTTTGAAAGATGATATTTGAAAGACTGTTTCAGCTGTCCATACAATGAAAGTCACTGGGGTCCAAAGCCATACTTTCCTTTTGGTATTAACTTGCTGTTACATGCATCCTTTGTGACTACTTGTGTCCGGCGATGCTTAAGTATGAGCAAACCATTATGTGGCTTTAATGGATGGGAAAGCAAGCAGATGAAAGGGATACGCATGGAAACTACAAATTTTCTATATCCATGTTTCCAGTGCATGAATGAATATCTTGCTTTGGAATGCTTTCTCATGATACAACCTATAATATGGCAAGCCATTTCAATAATAGTGACAGGGAACAATATTCCTGCTGCTGACTGTTTTTATCATTAATCAAACAACCAAAGGAGAAAAATCACTCACTGCTCTTGACTGAAGGACTTTTGTAGCTTAAGTTTATTCTTTACAGTGAAGATGCTTAAAGCACAGTTTGTTTATTGTCATATTTTTATTATATTGTATTTATTTCCCTTTCTATATTTACAGGGGTGAAATAACTATATATATATATATATATAAACAGTTGAAGTCAGAATTATTTGCTCTCCTGATTTATTAGCAATTTTTATTATTATATTAGATTTAGATTTCATATTAGATTTTTTTCAACCCATTTCTAAACATAATAGGTTTTATAACTTGTTACCAATAACTGATTTATTTTATTTTTGCTCTGATGACAGTACATAATATTTGACTAAATATTTTTCAAAATACAAGCATTCAGATTAAAGTGTGATTCAAAGGTGTATTCAAAAGTGTGGTTCTTGATTAGGGTAATTAAGCAAGTCATTGTATAACAGTAGTTTCTTCTACAGACAATCGAAATTATATATTGCTTAAGGGGGGCTAATAATATTGACCTTCAAAATATTTAAATCTGCTTTTATTCCAGCCAAAATAAAACAAATAAAAACTCCTACATTTTTTTTTAGGAAATAATGTGAAAAATACCTTGCTCTGTTAAACATCATTTGGAAAATATTTATAAAAAAAACAGCAACTGATAATTGTTTTGGATAATCGTGATTACAATTATGACCTAAACTATCATGATTATGATTTTTCCCATAATCGAGCAGCCCTAATTTGAAGCGACATTATTGACAAATTAAGCATTTGGTGCACAACAATAAATGCCACAAAAGAACTTAACTGTGCCTTTCGGATTTATACATTTCATCAATCTCCATATGGACAACTCTTCTGGGGTGGTCAGTTTGCTCGGTAGCTCATTTTGTACACGGTTTAGGGCATCTTATAGACGTGTAAAAGAAGCTAAGTACACTAAGTAATGTATTTCAGATTCACAAAAATGTAGAAGGCGCCCTCTAGTATATTTGTTATGTGAAATATTTAATATAATTTAACCCGAGCAATGTATTTTAAGTTTCGAAAAACTGTAGGCTGAGGCATATGTTTGCAATGAGCCTGGGCCATTGGGCCTGGGTCACTGGGGTGATATCTTTTCAAAAGTTACAGTTTTGTACTTTTAAACACTAATATTCAGACTTTAAGTACTAATGTGAACCATTAAAATACCAGTATCTACTTTATTCTTCATGTAAAGGCCGGCTCACACTGCGATTATTATTATTATTATTATTATTATTATTTTTATTATTATTATTATTTTTTATAATCTTAAATGATTGTCTCATGTCAGACTGCACAAACATGGCTCACACATCACTGTGAGATCTCAGATGTCATAAAGTCAGACAGAATGACAATGAAGACGCGCCAAACCTGAAAGAAAATGCCCCCGAAGTTTGATGTCATTCACTTGTGACACTTTCACTATCCCACGTTCCGAAATGATTTCTTACAGCCAACGTAAACAATCTGTAGTGGCAATTTTGCACACGGCGTGTCTCAATAATAAAACCAGGAAGAAAAAAAAAACAGTTTTGACATTTCCCCACAGTAATTTGAATTGTCGCATGGATTGTGTCATTACTTTTGGAGCTTAGGATTTTAGGAATCTTAGGGTTTCCCAAATTTGTCTCAGATGGCAAAATCGTGGCTGAAATCTCAAAGTGTGAGCAGAGCTTTAGAGTGCAGCCATAGGAACCTTATTGACTCAAGACCTCTGGTCTTGTTCAGTTTCATTGATGTTTAGCCTCAAAAACAGCTCTTTGTTTATTACTGATGAAAACTAGTATTTTTATTATATTATTTTTATTTATGTATATATAGTCATTAACACATTTGTTTGTAGAGCAAGTACTTTGACCGTTTTTGCCGTTTCTACTCTAATCCTCCATAGAAAAATGAATCAGAGAGGTCCTACAACAATTGCAAGAAAGAGCTTACTACTTCGATGCAGAATAAAGTATATAAAACCTATAGGTACAAATGTGTATATTTTGAAAAGGCAGGCCCAAATGACAGTTTTTATACCTTTATTTCTCAGAGTGTAATAATGGAAATCAGTGTTTGCATGCTCAATAGATTAAAGTTAAAATGGCTTGCCATAATAATTGTGGTAAGTGACTAGCAGAGAGGTTGTGTTTTGTGGTTGTTTGAATACAGTTGACATGAGCATTTACACTATTAAATCAATCTCTAAAGCATTTTTGACTATCCCTGGATGAGGTCGAAAGTGAAAAAGCTCAAAATATATAAGACTCTATTTACACCTGTATATATTGTTGGCCACTGTTGGGCAAAGACTCTGTCTTTTTGTGTCTTACCTGATCAAAGAATCCATTTAGCAAAGTAAGGTGTTTAGAAGGGTACGTAGCAAAGATTCCAGCAGTTGCATTTACCCCATCAACATCAAGAGAACCTTGTCCAAATTTCCAAATTGCATCTGCAAAGCATCCAGTAATCATAAACTGGTAAAAGTACTTTTAGATATTTAATAACTCTGTTCACAACCACAGTCCTCATAAACTAAAAAGAAATTTCCTTGTTGGCTGACCCAGGATTGACAAAAATGTGGATTATTCACATCCACAATTCTTTAATTAGCCATCTTAAAACTTACCAAAATACATGCCAAATATTATTCCAGCTCCAAGAAAAGCCCCCACAGTCTGGGCCAGAAAGTAAACGGGAAATTTCCTCCAGGGCTCCCTCCCCAACAAACAGAGAGAAAAGGTCACAGTAGGGTTTATGTGACCTCCTGTAAAACACAACCTTATGTTTAACAAGATGTTGTTTTATGAAATGTATATGTGAAGCACAATGACTATAAAAGTATATAATAGACTCTTGCTGTAGTGTTTTAGGTCTGGTTTGGTATATGTTGACATGCAGGATTAGACTTAAAAAATTCAACTTAAACTTTTTCATAAACTTTTTAGCCATGGATTAGACTTAATCTATGTCTGGAAACTTTGTTTTTCAACTGTCTGCCAATTCCTACTCATTCAAGACTTCACTCAAAATTCAAACATTCATTTATTAGTAGTTTTCCTCTGTTTAAAATGTTAAAGTCTAAAAGTTCTGTTTGATGTCGTCTGCTGTTTTAATCAAAATTGAAACTGAAGCAACAGAAAAAAGCAGCAGATCCATGCACTTCAACTTAAGGCAACCCTTAAATATGTGCACATAAAATGTTCTGAAAGTAGATTAGAATGTTGTGTAACTTTACCAATTCAAATCCATGTAGTCAATGTTTCTTTCACATTTTAATATCTGGTTCTGGAGCTGTTTGTGACTCACTGCAGTAAAATGCCACATCTGACTTCTTGAATTTCCTGTGTTCTCAAAGAAGTAGTATAAAAAATTGACAGCTTTAAGAAGGCCATGATGAATCTTACCTGAGACTTGCCCACAAACCAGGATTCCCAATGTAGCAGCGAATCCAAATGCAAAATTCACTGTCAGAAACATTCCATGAGAACCTCCGCTTAAAATATGCTGGGCAAGAGCACCACAACCAAACATCTAGAAATGGTGAATGCAAAACAGAAATACATTCAACAGTTTTCTAATGAAAGTGCTGTGTTTGTATTGACTTTCTTTTCATTTAAGTTAGACTGAAAGCTCCTCATGAAAAAAGCTTTGGTAAAACTTTAGTTTAATTAACAATTTAAACTGTTATCTAATGGCTTATTACCTTCCTCTTATTAAGATATTTACTGTTTTTTAGTACTTAAAGTTATCTTATTCATTCTACATCCCTAAACCTACCCAAAGCCTTAACCCAGCTACCACCTTACTAATTATTAATAAGCAGCTAATTATTAGTTTGTGTTAACAGTCTTAGTTAATGGTTTGTTATAGGCATGAATTAAACAGAAATTAAACGTCCAAGCTAGGCTTATTGGAAATGTGTGCAGGGCTACGTTTTTGCTAACAGAGAAATATGTTGTTTGCCACATTTCCTTGCAGCTTGTTGACAAATTCACAAGAGGCCGCCATCTACATTTTTGCGAATCTCAAATTTATTTTCTCATATGTGACATTTAAACGTCCTTCTCATACGAATCTGTGAGAAGAAAGCCAATAGTGTTTTAAAAAGCTAATAAGAAAAGGTTTCTCGGACTGTCTTTTGCTGGACTCAAAACCAGTTCGCTACACATTCCAATTAAAATACTGTACGAGGCAAGCTGCCAAGCAAACTGACCGGCGCAGCCTGTGTGGTCGCATAATCCTCATCGTGGCTGGCTCTGTGATTGGTCGACTTGGGTAGCTGTGACGAGAGTGGGCGCGCTGAGAGCTGCGAGCCCGATAGAGCGAGTGTTTACAAGTGTTAATTTCCGTTAAGGAGCTCCTGATGAAAACTGTTGTTTTGTGTTTACCTTATGATTACAGTTGTTGCAGGTCCGCAGGTTCCCACCTCGGAAGGAACAAGTTTTAGCTACTTGTACATTAAGGTAGCGTTCAGAAAAAACAAAACATCCTCCAAGAAACTTGACAGAACAGCGTGCAGAAGTATAAATGCAAATCTACGCATGGATTTACGCCAATCACTCGACGCAGAAGTATAAAGCAGTTTTAAAAACAACCTTTTATTTGTCAATAATGTCACTGTAAACATTTGTTGTGTCAAAAGGAACAAACGTTGTCAGCGTCATACCCCCCTGTAATGTTCGTTTCACCCATAAACTGCAGGCCAATGTATGCTGAAGATCGTTTTTGTGGTTTCGCCAAAATGTAACCCTGGGCATATATTCCCAATGAACCTGTTGGAAAATGTAATTTCATAATCTGCAGATTTTGGTTCGAGGTAGGGTAGGGTTATTGTTAAGGGTTAAGTTAAGGTAGGCTGACTTACCTGCCCACCAAAATATGTAATTGTAAACCTCTGTGCTCTGTTTGTGCAGAAAGAATTCAACGCAATCTTACAGAAGTTAGTAACTTTTTAATTTAGTGGCTAATTAATATGAACTTTGATGTCATTCATACATTTTAGTAGGCTATTATTTGCTTATCCTCAAGTAAAGAGAAGGGGGGGAGTTTGGGGGCTAGCCTTTTAAAAATTGTATGTTTTCATACAAATGAAATAGTCTGAATTTGTAGGAATTTGAAACTTTTATGGCAATACATAAAATAGTTAAATTTTCCTCATGAGATTCGGCTGAAAGGATCTTCGGCACATTTACAAACACAGGGAATGGCAGGAAAACATCAGCACCTAGCTTCTTTTTATGAAGTTTAGTAATGTAATTACTAATTATACTATAAGTATAAGATTTTCTCTCTGGTGAGTGTTGTGTGATGAATTGTAGTGATGTTGTCTAGTGTGCAATCAGGAGGTGTGGCTGATCAGGATGGTGATTTGCAGGGTATGCTTTCAGTGTGCTATCAGGCTAACGTTAGCATTTTCCAAGATCTTGCACTTTTAAAGATTTTTAATCAGCCAGCCATGTGCTTGTTAGCATGTGAAGGGTTAAGGAATGTTATTCAAGGGATTTTGAATGCCTGATTTTAGTGCAACTCTGATGCCTGAGGTCAGGGGAGAAAATCTAATGCCACAGTCACACTAGAGTTTTAACATGCAAAATTCGGTTGTACGGCGTTGCGAAAAGGGGCGGGATTAGACATTTAAAGCGAGCAATTGGTCCATATTTTACATGTCCAGAGTGGTCATGTTTTCAACTTCGATTGGTCTCACGCAGTCACGTGATGCGATTTCTCTGGTCAGAGTTCACCAAGCTTGAACCTTGCAACGCATCGAATTTCAAAACTTGTCGCACAAGCTTGTGTTTTTGATGTTAAAACGTTTTTTCATGCAACCATTAAAGCCAAAAAAAGGAATTTCTATTTTTATTAGCATATAAATTACATAGCTTAATATTAGATGGTATTTTCAACAAATCCCATTAAATGACTGCAGGTTTTAGTTTGACGTATTTGGAATCTTGGAGCTAGACATCATTGGCTTCACGTACCTGTTTTTGTTTGAGGACTGCGTCTAAAGAATGTGAAATGTTGTGGGCACCATGTGGATTTGATAGATTGTGTGCGTATGGGATTGTGTTTGTGTACTTGCTCTCTCTCTCTCTCTCTCTCTCTCTCTCATTGTGTGATGCCCTCTAGCCTGTCTGTGTTTGCCAGCCGTTATTGAGCCACATGATCAGCCTCTGGATGGGGGGTTCGCAGACCGCACAGTACCATCACAAAACAACAGATGGGCACGGGGGAGCTCTATTTTTCTCCAGATATTGCTGTTCTGAACTTTTCGTTTCCATTGAAAACAGATGATGAGATATGGTTTAACCTGTGATCCCCCTGTGGTGTGTCAAATTTATTCCGGATATGGGTCTTGGATTCTGCGTTATGGTCAAGGTTGCCTTCAACTGTGCCTGCTAATTGCATACAATTTTGTCAAAGTTTAGTTGGAGAAATCTTTCTTTTTTATGAAATTAATTCCAATAGAACATCCACTAATGTTTGAATTGTTTTGTTAAAGTGGTGATTGATTTAACAACAACTGTAGCTTAAGATCTGAGGTGTTTAATCCTAACACAATCTTTTCTATCACTAGGTTTCTTGTGTCTAGTGGTTTAATTAGACAGGGAATTGAAGATCGCTTTAGTTTTTATTTTAACAAATGACCCCAACAAAGCAGTGCAACTGACCTAACTGCACTATTAAAGTTATATTACTGCTTATTGTTTAGAGGTTGTGTTTGAGCTGTTTAAAAGTTACCTTATATAAACTAAGTTTTTATTTTAATATATTCAGTTTTAATTATGAATATTTGCAGGATAAGAAACGGCCGTGAAACTTGAGTAAATCAGTTAATTGGCTATCAGCAGGACTTGAAATTTACTCCCATCCTGCTTTTTCACAGTATGTTCTGCAAAGGAGGCATTTGGCTACAAATTTAGTTACAAAATAAACATATTTTAGCTTTGATCATCCGTTTAATTCCATGTTTTAATAACCGTTATTGGCCAAAGCTTAAAAGCAGTATGAAGTATGACTACAAAGTGTCTGTAAACAGTGTAACAGATATATTCTTCATATCAAAATGTTGGCAAAAAAGAACAAAGTTTATTTTGGATAAATTATTAGCAAATATAGGAATTAAGCTGGAAAGATCCACAGAAATAAAACTCCTCAGGTGAAATTTTAAATCTTTTGAGTACTTGAAAGCATCTAAAATAGTTTGATCTCTTCTATCCATGTATCGTCAAAAAAACAGTAATCATTTATCATCCATCTATCAGTCTAAATTCAGTTATTTAATTATGGCACATCATATTCATATTCTATTCATTGTTCTAGTAAATTAAAGAAAATGTGTTTCTAAATGTAAATGTGGCCAAACCTCAACACTTGCTAATCATATTTGGCTACATTCCTGTTTAAGACTTTCAATCACTATTACTTTGAATTGCTCATAATCTTTTCCCAAACTCAACTGGCTGCATGGCATTTTCATCACATCATCAAAAAAATCAATCTATGAAAAAAACAACAGAAGCTTCTCACCACTAGAATGAGGGTGCCCAGGCATTCTGCCAGTGCTTGTCTCATCAGCATGTTCCGAATCTGAAAGATCCGAGCCATCTTTTCCAGGATTACCTTCTGTCTTCCCATATTGATAATAGGCAGTTTTAATGATGATGATGATAGTCAGATGGTCTGTACTCATGTACAACTTCTCCAGCAGAGTTTGGACCGTATATGTGCTTCTGAATGTCCCGCCCTCAGTCAATAAAAAAAAACCCAAATAAGCATTCCTACTATTTTTCCTCCCATCCTCCATCCCTGCCTCTTCCCGATTGAAACACTTTTTCTTTTTTCCATTCCAGGCTTCTTGTTATAAATGTGTTAGTGAAGACTGGGATTTTCCCATCTCCCAAATATATAAATGTTTCTTATAATCTGGTTCTGAATGACCTTCTAGGGTTTAGTGTACAACAACAACAACAAGTATTGTTTCCCTTCTTTTTCTTCATTGCGAGGATTGTAGCCTCAATGGCTGGAGCTCTTATGGTCACTTTACATTTTTAAACGAATATTTTAGGCTTTGTGGAAATGTATGGGCATTTACCCAGTGGTGACATTTGGCAAGTACATAAAACACAGGGTAGATGTTTTTGAATTCGGAAAGTATTTGCGCCACATGATGGTCACAAGTCTGGAGTGTCTAAAATTCTATTTTCGTAATAACATTAAATAATAGACTGTTTTTTATTCTTCTAGTAACACAATGACTTGTGGCACCAGCCTCAGTATTATGACATTGTGGATGTTTGCCAAAACCCAAGCTCTTGATTTCTGTCCCTGTGGTATTTAACCCACTGTTTCATGTGCTTAATAAATGCTACTTAATCTGAGTAATGTCTTTCCATAAATAGGGTGAATAGAGTGACTGGTAACAAGCCCCAACGCTCAAGTTCTCTTCCTGCGGTATTCTAGGAAAGCTAATATGTCTCATGACAGATTATTGCTGAAAATGGGGCAATGTTTGGCTAGTATCTCCTGCTGGTACATATCTTAATTACACAATTCTGGAGCCAAAAAGCAGCTTTCCTTACTGACAGTCTTTCAAAAGTTGCTGTTTTATATTTTTGCTGTTGTTGCGTACTTTACAAATGGAATCAAAACTAACCATATGATTTTGTTAGCAGTTTTGTGGTGGACAATTCATGTCTGTTTGTAATATTTAATTGAAATCCGAAAATGCACGTCCTTTTTTTCAGTTAGAGTGTCAGATTAATTGGTATCCAGTCTTTCCACAACTGCAAATAGATTCTTGGTGATCATAGGTTTTGGAGTGTAGATAATGCACACGGATATATATTTATGTTAAACCTTGATATGTGCTCAAGCTATATCAAATCTATTACTGTGCATGTAAAGTATACACAATATGGTAAAAATGAAACCTTTTTCCATTTTTGGAAGGTTTTTAGTACAGACAACAAAATGAAAAAGAATGAACACTGAAAAATGCAAATAGGTATTTCTGTAGCCTGAAGTGGGAGGGATTACACTGCAAATAGGTTGGGTGACATCCAAGTGGGAGGGATACTACAAGTAGGCAGGGTTTAGGTGGCGTTGGTTACTGTGAAGTTGGGTTTAGGATTGGGGTAAGTGTAGATGTTAATAAAACACAACAGGTTACGCTGAGCTTGGGTTTAGGGTTGGGGTGAATGTGGACTTTAATAAAACACAGGTTATTATGAGGTTGGGTTTAGGGTTGGGGTAAGTGTAGATGTTAATAAAACACAACAGGTTACGTTGAGATTGGTTTAGGGTTGGGGTAAATGTGGACGTTAGTAAAACACAACAGGTTACTGTGAGGTTGAGTTTAGGGTTGGGGTAAGTGTAGATGTTAATAAAACACAACAGGTTCTGTGAGGTTGGGTTTAGGGTTGGGGTAAGTGTAGATGTTAATAAAACACAACAGGTTACTGTGAGGCAGGGTTTAGGGTTGGGGTAAGTGTAGATGTTAATAAAACCCAACAGGTTACTGTGAGATTCGGTTTAGGGTTGGGGTAAGTGTAGATGTTAATAAAACACAACAGGTTACTGTGAGATTCGGTTTAGGGTTGGGGTAAGTGTAGATGTTAATAAAACACAACAGGTTACTGTGAGGTAGAGTTTAGGGTTGGGGTAAGTGTAGATGTTAATAAAACACAACAGGTTACTGTGAGGCAGGGTTTAGGGTTGGGGTAAGTGTAGATGTTAATAAAACCCAACAGGTTACTGTGAGATTCGGTTTAGGGTTGAGGTAAGTGTAGATGTTAATAAAACCCAACAGGTTACTGTGAGATTGGGTTTAGGGTTGGGGTAAGTGTAGATGTTAATAAAACACAACAGGTTACTGTGAGATTCGGTTTAGGGTTGGGGTAAGTGTAGATGTTAATAAAACACAACAGGTTACTGTGAGATTGGGTTTAGGGTTGGGGTAAGTGTAGATGTTAATAAAACACAACAGGTTACTGTGAGATTGGGTTTAGGGTTGGGGTAAGTGTAGATTTTAATAAAACACAACAGGTTACTGTGAGGTTGGGGTAAATGTGGACGTTAGTAAAACACAACAGGTTGCTGTGAGGTTGAGTTTAGGGTTGGGGTAAGTGTAGATGTTAATAAAACACAACAGGTTACTGTGATTAGGGTTTAGGTTCGGGGTAGGTGTCGACATTCATATAGCACAATACTGGACTCTGTGTCTTGCACAAGACATTAAATAAATAAAAACCTCTGTTTATAACTTTCTTGAAAAATGTGTATGCTTGGCCAGTAGTGGGCAAACAAACAAAATGTGCCTGCACACATACAGTGCAGAATTCAGCTCCTTTTTTTTCTTTTTGAGCATGTCTGTAGTTTAAACATTTTATTTTCACTAAATTAATTTTATTTGTAGTTATTACACATTATTTCATATTTTTGGTATCCTTTCCAAAAATTAATTGTAGGTCTGTTTTGTAGGACATGTTCCATGTCTTGTCGTTGTTTTTACTTTATCTGGACTTGTATCATATTTAAATTGATTACCCCACTAATTTTTTACAGTGATGACCAGCTGCCCTATACTGTACATTATCATCATTTACACAATAAAAAAGTAATATAATTTAATGGGCTTCTGAATATTTTATACCTAATAGTACAGGCTATTATGCATATGTTGTAGTACATTTAGTCATAATAAATGTGTTCTATTTGTTTTATATTTAATATTTAATGTTATAGTTTTTTACTTAACCTCCTAGGGCTTAGTGGCCACATATGTGGACAGCACATTTTAGTGGCTATTTGAAATACTTTGAATGTTTTATATTTTGTTGCAGAGATACAGTGTCATCCTGTTTTGCAGCAAATGAAATGTCTCAAACCCTATTTTTAACTGTACAAAATGGGCAAAAAATGTTGTTTTTACTCTCTGATAGTCAAAACGTTAAAAAAAAAATGTAAATGTTATATATGCATTAAAAACAGTCAGGAAAAAGTGTTTTATGTAAAAAATTTTTCTCTAAATGTACTTCATATCAAAAGACAATACTTAGGTTTTATTTTAATTAGGTTCCACTAAGCCCAATTAGCAAAGATAAATAAAAAAAAAATGCTTGTAAAAAACACCTTGGGCCTTAAGAGGTTAAGGGTGTCACAACTGGTCAGTCTTACTGCTTTATATACAAATATAATAAAAGCATAAAGAAATGTGTATTGTGTCTTAGAAAATGGCATTGTTTTCCACATTATAAAACCTATAAAGGCCTTCTTTCAGGGAGCTCTAGAGTTATTTGAATGGGATATTAAATCAGGTCATTCGACAAGTTTCGGATATGATTTAAGCAACATTCTGATGATGCCAAGAATTTAGAGATTTCAGTGATTTTCGGTTTATTGTCAACAAAAATAGAATGACTTTAAATTGTTAGTTATACTATCTAATATAATATTAATCATTCTGCTGGTTTCTCTTGAAAGCAGAACAGCTTTATTTTTGCCATTGTATGAAACTAAAGGTAGGTTCAGTTAAATGCCTGCCCAACTTTGGACCTTGAATTATAAACTATTTCTTGCGTTACGTTTCACTATGATCTAACAGCTGTCTGACATTAGACACCCAGACCTTCCTCATATTTATTTGGCTATGATTACAAACCTTAAAATAAAGCGAGATGCGGATGTGCTTGAAATATCACTGCACTTTTAGTAAACAAGTCAATGCTCCTGTCAAGAAATACAATCGTCTCTTAATGCGTCTGTTTTAAAAGTCAGCTTTGTAGTTTGTGTAGCCTGTTCTCTTCAATGTGGGAAATGCCTTCTGTGACCTCCATCCTTTTGACTTGCATTCAGTATCGATTTCTAAACAGTGCTGTTAACAAATGTAAAAAAGAGCTGTGCGATTAAAGCGATAACAGCAATTATCTCATTCAAATGTCAAGATCAAGTCTTTTAGCCTGTGCTGTGATGTGTGAGCTTCACCATTATCTTTCCAATATTCCCAATAGGTTTGTTGCTTGATAACTTTTCATGTGAAATAAAGCTTTGGCATTAATATTATTACAAAAATCCAAACAATACATGTTTAGATGCTCTTCAGTGTGGTATGTCAATGTTATAGGTGCTTGAGCTGTGGTGAAAAATCGTTCATGAAATCGATTGTGTGGCACTTCTGATATTTTCAAAGTGCATTGCTGTTCTCTCTTGAGTAGATTCTGAACTCAATTTTTAACAGCAGATGACACTCTGCTAGTTTTTAATCATACAATAGGGTCTATGCAAAAGAACGTTTAATTTTCAGTAACCCCGTTCAAGCGTTTCCAGTGAACTGTATGTTGTAACAATTATCGCGTTTAAGGTCTGTTTTCATTAAAAATCACTGATCTTCACTGGCTGATTGATACGATATAAAGTGTGCCTCAGAATGGTCAAGAAGCACTGCATTAAATTTCACTGTTTTATGCCACGTTTTTAAAATATGAAAATGTATTTTACAAGTATTTACACAGTAACCTGTTTTACCCGAATTACTGCACTCGCCTCCTGCTTCTGACGATTCTTGCATTAAAATTGCTTTTCATCTCGTTTTACGCTTCAACAACTAAATGAATGCTTACGTCTATTTAATGTTTTATATTTTAATTACACAACATCTATGCTGTAAAAGGAACATTATGA